TAACCTCTTTGTTTAAAATGTTCAAGAATAAATAAGGAAATACAAGTTTGTTACAAACTCAGAGACATGAAAGTAGTGCTTTGATTTAAAAGTTGCATAAGATACTGTATAACTTCCTTAATTTGCAGTCATTTTTAAGTACTTCTAAACATTTTCCTGGGTTGAATTTGGAATGTAGTAGGTAAATGAGGGGGGAAAAAATTAAGGTTCAAAATGATTTTAGTGGCCAGCTATTTAGTATGCACGCTTGGGGTGGCCTAGGGGAAATGAAAGCCATGATTTCTTCCTAGATTTGTAACATATTAGTTGTGTTACTAGCATTGGTCATAAAGTCTCTCAAGGGTTCAGTTTGCTCATCTTAAGGCAGGATATCAAACTAAATGACTTCTAAAGTTACCTTAGGTGCAGTGACCCTATGTTGGAACCAAACAGATTATGGGAAAATCTAAATCACTGTGAACTGAAAGGAATGTGAAGCAAGCATTTGATGGTAAAATATTCCGAAATACCCAAACCTTATTGAATGGGAATCAGGCTAGAATGCAAATAACATCTGGATGTGATTGTGAAAAACCAAATGCAAAGGGGAATCCAAATTATGTTAGATGTTTCACTGACTAACATCACAACCTTGTAAAAGAAATGATTTAAAAGAAAAAAAATAAGACTGAAATGAACCAAAGATGTTACTATTAACCAGGGTGCATTCAAAATAGAGGAAATAAAATGATATTGAAGTCAAGGAAACTGACAAAACCAGGAAAGTAAAATATTCCATCACCGTAGCCCTTTATTTTAGCCTAATTCACTTAATACTTTATCCTAAATATACTTCAAATTTGTATCTCTATGAACATTTAAATGGTAGGCATTACCTATGCTAAAAAAGAAAAGACAGAATCCTATCCTAAAAATGTTGGATTTATAGCTGCATATGTAAGCCTGTTAAACAGTTTTATCTATTCTTTCCAATAAAAACATTTTTAGTGGTTATGACTATTAAATCTTCCCAAATTAGATGGGAACATTTTCACTAGTGGGGTTTAAATATTTGCTCAAATTTTATTTGGTTTAATCTGACAATATTGAAAAATTTCCCTGGGGCCATTTTTATCCATATATCACTCAAAGGTCCATAAAAGCAGAATCTTGTGAGATAAATATTAAGTCAAAATCTCAAAGCGATGGGAAAACATAGTAATAATAAAAATAGTGATAATAACTATCACTCCTACCATTAATGAAGAATTCATTTTATAAGTCTACCATATACCAAGATATATTGTGTTATTAGAGTTGAAAATAAAATTTAAAATCTCTAAAAATAAAACTCAAAGATGTTAAGTAACATATTGAAACTTATGGATCTGACAAAATTGTAAGTTTAGAATTTGAACCCAGGTCTGCTAGTCTCTAGAACCCAAGTTTATTCCATAATGCTATGCTAGAATTGACAGTGGTAGCCAGGACATGAAATTATATGTGAATGCAAAATGCATATATACACATACATACACACATACACACACACACACACACACACACACGCTTTGTGGTGAGAATTCATAGTTGGATAACCTTGAATCAGCTTCTCATAGAAGAAGATAGCCCCATAAGAATTAATAACCTGGGGGCAGGTGGAAGAGCTTGGAAGGGGGAAACAACAATTTAAAAAAAAATGATAATGCCAGCAGTGAATCCAACAAGTCCTGATTGAACATTTCACTTAGGAAAACACAAAACTAGATTAAAAGCCCTATCCAATTACTTCATTCATATTCCCATCTGCATACTTTATATGTGCACAGTACCTTAAATTTTACATGATTTTGTTTTTTTACATTCATTAGAGACTCCCTAGAATCTCTGGTTTTGAGCAGGAGGAAACAGAGACTCAGAAAGGATGGATCTCTTATGCGAGAGCCCAGCACAAGTAAAGGCTGAATTCCCTCCCAGTCCACACTTAAGATCCCATTGTCTCCCAAGTTCATTCATGTGGGATGGACTAGGCAAGGATATTCAGAATCTCAGAGCCTTGGCCCTCTCCCTTGAGACAGATACTTCAGGTTCCCTGCAGTTCTAACATTCTGAAGTTACTGAGGTTCCTGCCACATGTTCTGGAAAATATTACAGTATCAAGGGAGAATTCCCTAACCCTTTCTCCTTTCTACTAGGGAAGGGAAAAACTTGTGTCTCTATTGGAATAATTATATTTTAATGTGTGTTTTTTAAATAAAAGTAAACACAGCCTCTTTCTCCCTGATTAAAACATAATGATTGTAAATCAATTGCAAAATACTATCCCCACCCCCCAAAATATATTGCTAAAAGATTCCCAGGGTACTAAAAGAGTCAACTATTTAATAAAACATTCTTATTTCAACAATTGCCCACCAAAATTATTAAATTGCAATACTGACAGATGCCTAACTTATGAATAGGTTTAGCCCATATAATCTGACACTTTCCAAAATATTTGTTGCATGCTTGTGTATCTTTAAGGCCTTGTTCAAAATCTGCTATTGGAAGGAAATACAACAAATATTTAGAAAGGGTCATTCAGATATTTCACTACAAGCTTAAAAATTCCAAATATGCACAAATCTTATCAGGTGTTAGCCCAAGAAGAGGATGAGGAAGGCAATGAGGAGGAATGGAGGGAAACATGTGGATGTATATTGTAGAATTGTGGAGGCTTCATAACAATTCTGGAGTGGGTAGGGAGTGAATGAGAGAAAGGAAGAGACAAAGAGAGACAGAAAGAACTCGTTGTTCTAGATAACCTATATTAACCTGAGACCACAGCAATGAATGAAGCAAAGCAGTCAAATGATTCCTCTGAAAGATCTTTCTGGAGTTACTCTACTGTCTTTTCTCCATCCTATGGCATAGAGCAACAGCATGTGTGTTGGGGCAAAGGTTCAGCTTTGTGATCCTCTGAAGAGTCTGACCATCTGCCTACTTCTCTATTTGTTCTATAACCAATTAGAGCAATTAAACCCCTACAGCCCTATTTAGATACTTTAGAAACCAATGATCAAAGATAATGTGTCTTTTCCAGTGTATATTTCCACAAATCAAAATCCTCCCAAAGCTGCATTCCAGATTTCCATCTAAGAAGATAGATCATCTTTTTTGTGGAGCAACCCCACGTCGGTTACCCCACTCTCAGCATGGCAGACACATGATATGGAGTATCTTTTTGGCATAGGATCTACTACTAGCCAATAAACATTTTCAACAGAGGATTTTAACTTTTGGATTCATGCCTTTTATAGGCTCTTGGGCATGTCTTTAATTGGTTCTCTTTAAATAAGTGCAAAGTAAAGCAGACTAATTTAAATCTTAAACAAATTCCAATAATTATCTCTTAATAATAAGACTCTCCCTTTAAGTTCTCCATTATGGTGATACTTCTAATCTCCTCCTGTCAGACTCCTTGCTTTACCCGCCCCCCACTCTAATACGTCATTCATTCTCCTATGTAAACTTCCCTAGATCCTGTCTCCCATTCCTGGGATGTTTACAAAAACAGATAAAGGAAATGACTCCTCACTTTGTTCTTTTATCCATGTGGCATAGATGCTCTAAGAATGGAAGTCACAGATCCCCTGGGCAAAGAACAGAGGAAGGGAGAGAGAATGATTTATGATGGTCAAAGTGTGGGATGGTGCAGGAAGATAAGAGAATAAAGCAATCTCTTGTATGAACCTTGTGTTAAAGGATGATTAAAAATAAACAGCTAATCTTTCCTTCTGCTTGAGTGAAAGACTTGTGCTGACATGTCGGTGGAGAGAGAGGCCATTTCTTCTCATAAGCACTCTTGAAATTAAATCAGTCAAAACAAGTGTTTATCGAATACTTACTAACTACAAGATTATTAATAATTTCAGCTTCTTGAACTAGTTCAGCTGTATCTAATATTTAGCTAATTTTTATCTTTATTCTTTTTCCTCCTGGATCTTTTAATTTAGAATCTTGCTTAGCTCCTATTTCCCCATTAAATTCCAAATTAATAGAACATCAGACTAAACATTTGCTGTTAGTCATCAAAGCTTTTTCCCACCCATATGTAACTTGATTAGTTGGAGCACATACATATACCATGCTATACACTATGGTTTCTTGTACATCCTTTTTACCAGCACACTGACTTAATCTGTAAGCAAAAAAAATTGGCTTATAGGGACATGTGACTCATCGGACCAGTGGATTTTTCTCAAGAATACCCACACCGTCACAACTTTAAAACTGTAAACTTCTTAATGGTGAGACTGGATTCTTCAATTTAACCTCCATCTTCACAAACATAGGAATATAAATGAACCAGAAACTCAACAGGTACATTGTATACTAAAAAGACTATCCCTCCCTCTTTTAGATGTTCTTCCTCAGAAGCTGAGTTATTTTCTCCTTTTTTTTCCTGCTGGTACGTAAAAGTGATTTTAATTCAGCTCTATGGCTGGTATTGTTTGAGATTTGTCCACTAAAAATAGCCCAGCTTCATAAAAAATAAATAAATAAACCCATCTGTGAGTGTGTGTATTATATGTAATATGTCATATATGACATAAAATATACATATATGATAAGCATGCAAACAATCAAGAATAAATAAATAATAATGTTATGATGGACTTAATGAAGATAGATTTTAATGGCAGGCAGCAGAACTGCAGGACAGGGAAAGGAAAGTGATGGTCAAAGAACCCAAACAGAGTGTGGTCATTTCCTCTCTCCGAGTCTAATGCGAGCAGAACCATGGTGATAATTAAATGAGATATTACATATAAAGTGTTTGCTTGTCTTCCTAGCGCAGAGTCAGTGCACATTAAAAGCAGTTACTACTACTGTTGGGCTCTGGGTGTTGACTATATGCTTGAGATTATGGGAAGTCCCAGGAATGTAACAGGAACACAGCTGAACAGGAAACAGTACTCACGGAACTCATGATTTATAAAACACAGTAACAAAAAACAAGCAAATACAGTAAGACTTACGTTAACATCAAGAGGTTCTTGGAAATTGTGACTTTCAGCTAACCAACATATAAATGAAACCATGTCCAAATCTTCGAGTCTTTGATCTTCAAAGAATGTCATTTCATTGGGTTCTCATCGTTGGTCATTCCTCATCTATGTTACCACAAAACAATGTTGAATGAAATTTTGCTATTCCAGGACCTGCTGTATGTCACTGCAGTAATTTCTAGCTCTAAGGGGTCACATGATAGAAACAAACAGAATGTTAAAAGCAAACAATTAATGTGCAGGTGCTTCTTTCCATAGGATGGCAAACGAAGGCCTGAGGACTGGACATTTACACTGACCACAACTGGGAAGATGTCCTCTTTATGACCTCTTGTGTTCCTTCTCCAAGGTAAAGAAAACAATGTCTTCCTTTCCCCTTTAATTATGTCATCAAATTTACTTATGAGCTCTAATCCCTTAGTTATAATTCTATGTAAGCCAAACTCAGTTCTCAATTATACTTCTATTTTTTAAACTAGTGATTAAGTCTTATGGTTTTTGGCCTCAGACAGAACTGGGTTAAAATTCATTTATGAGCTGTGTGCCTCTGGCCATTTTCTTCTGTAAAAAATGGGAAAAATAAAATCATAAAGATGTCGTGGAGATAAATGAAATAATTTATGTAATGCCATTATCGTGGTTACTGACACAGAGTAAGTGCTCAATAAATACAGTGTATTTATAATAAGAATTAGAACTTTCTATTACTCAGAACATTTTTGTATGTTTATTATTGAACAACCATGGTCCTATCACACTATACATTATACTTTATTATACTTAATTCACCTTCAACAATCCAAACTCCTCCCTTAAAAATAAAAGAAAACTCAAATCTCATATAAGCAAATAATCCTCAAGTTGCTTACTTATTAATTTAATTTGTAGACCCCCTCAAGGAGTTATGTAGGATCCATCTGCTTGTTTCTTGTGTGGATGTCAATCTCCCCAGTGTTACCAAGTAGCTGCTGCTTGCTGAAACAATCCATGCCATTGTTCACATAAATACTCAAGTTTTCACAAGCAAAACTTGTTCAAAGCAAGGGAAAATGATTATTTTCTGCCAACATCTTTCAAGGAAGGACAACTAAGCTTCCTCCAGTTTTGTTCAAATGACAACTTACTGCTACTTATACATTTTATCTTTAAAAACAGGAATAAGTATGCATAAAAAAGTGAAATCATCACTGTGGGTTTTTGGATTCAAAGCCATATCCTCTCTTCCCATATTTCATGGCAGTGTGCCTTCACTCCCCTTTCACTGTGCTTATAGATTCACCCTCAAACAATTCCAGAATCTTCTACTTGACCAAAACAAATGAATTTTTATATGAAATTGAAAATATTATGTAGTGCCATTTAATAATGAGAATCTTGCTTTGCCACTATCAGCTTACCAAGCCCATGGACATACTTATAAGGAGAGGGTGCAAGTACCATGCCAACAAGAGTTATTTAGCTCAATGAAGTTATTAAGGCTTTTTGATATCTATTTCCCTGTTCAATCTTCCCAGTTTTATGGAGTATGGCAGTCCCAATTCACAGATGGAAAAAAAAAATTTCTAGGGAGTTTAGAGAATTTTCTAAAGATGGGGCCTCACTGGTGGCACAAGGGGATAAGTCTCAGACTATGAAGCTATCCACAGCCACTGCAGCATGTGTTTGATCCCCGGCCAGGGAGGTGACCCACATGATGTGGCAGACTTCTCCGGTCTCGCCCACTACTCCCCTCAGCAGTGTATTTCAATCTGCCTATTCTGTTTCCCACTCTGTCTCCGGTGAATCCTCTCACCCCTGTACCTCTGGCCTACACCCCAGTTCTTATATGCATAAATAAATAAATCTTTTAAAAAAGAATTTCCAAAAGCCACTATCAATAATATTTATTTGTAAGTCATTCATTAACATGCCATCTGAAAGAGTTTAGACTGGAAATGTCTCATTTTGATAAAATCAGAAGCAGTGATTTCCAAGCATTATTCAGTTAGGACATGCACTCACAAAGCAAAAAAAGCTTACAGCACACACACACCAGTGTAGTCCTCAGAGCCATTGATGTTGTCTGGTTTGAACATTCCATTGGATTAGAGCATGCATGGCGATAAAGAAGCCTAGATCACAGGTGTGACCCCCTCCCAAGTGAGAAACATTCTCCAAGTACAGAGTTTGCTTCCTTTTAGAATGTCCCACCCCTTGATTAGATTAGACAATGTGAACAACTCAAAGCAAAGTCATCACCACTTCTGGAAGTCTCCAAGCACATGCCCTTTTGCCTCTTGGCAGTAAGAAGGGACAAAAAGTTTCAAATATGCCAGTAGAGAATGTAAACCTTTCTTCAGAGAAGTCTTGCCCTAAAAATAGAAATTTGCAGTTCTTCCTCGTTGCTATGAAGGGTGTGCATTTTTAAAATACTATAGAGAGCAAACCACATCCTGCCATCTTGCTTTTATAAATCAAGTTTTACTGGAGCACAGCCATACTCATTGATTTAGCATTTGACTATGACTTTCATGCTCTAATGGCAGAGGCTGGATGACCCACAAAGCCTGGGATATTTACTCTGGCCTTTTACAGAAAATGTTTGGTGACCCTGCTCCATAATGTGGTCCCTAAATATGAAGCTGAAAACGTCCTGGCTTAAAAGATAGGCTCTACAGTCAGTATTCTGTCTAAAGCCAGGTTCTGCTATCAAGTGACGGAAACCTTGAACTTAGTGTTCATCTTCTCTAGATCTCAGTGTCCTCATTTGTAAAACAGGAAGATTGATAGCATCTACCTCAGAGAAGTGTGGAAAAGATTAATTGAGATAATACATCTAAAGGGTTTGGAATATTGCTGGCATAAAACACCATTATTAGCATCACATTGGCAACAGCTGTATAAATTGAATTCTAACAGAAAAGCTTCAGCTGAGTTTCAAATGGTGCTTAAACATGCTTGTAAGAATTTCTAAGATTCATTACTCTGTTATACAAAGGGGATTCTCGGCTTATTTTTAGTGACAAGCAATAGGCTGACATAAATGACAGCTTAAGAACACAACCATTTTATATCCCTCCCTCACTCTATCCCAAAACCATTGCTTTTGATTTCAATAGCTTATGTCTACATATGTCATACATTAGTCTCTACTCAGACATTCAGACTTCAAATTATTTGATCTTCAAGCTTGTCATTCTTCATATTTTTCTTCCTCATCTCTTCGCCCTTGTTATTTTTTTTCCTCCCAGCACTTATTCCTTAATACTGATTTTATAGCACCCACAAATTCTCCAGGTTATGCTGGAGAAGAGGAGAGTTATGATTCCAATCAAGTCAATGAAACTCAAGTAATGTACAAAAGATGCTAGTGATATTATTTAAAATGCAAGTGCAGCCTTCAAGAATCTTATTTCATAGGTTGAGATTGTTCTAGAAAACTGCTTTAGTAAGAAACAATACAGCTGATTTTGACAGAGAGTCATACTTTGAAAAGCCTTGCCCTACTCCTCCTCTTTCCCCTACTTTATCAAGTAGATGTCTGAAAAACTGACTTACATGTATTGGGGATTAGAGATGGTAGGAATGGGGTTAATATGTTTATGGCCTACATTGTTCCCAACTGGATAGTATGAATGGACTTAATGAAAAGAAAACAGAATTTTATGTCTGCATACAGGAACAGCATAGAATTTCTGAGATGCACAATGGTGCACACCATGTACCAAAGGATAAAATTAAGCTCATAAGACTTTTCAGCTGCATTTGATACTTTGAAACATAAGGGTCTTAATAGGTGAATTTAAATGACCTATCTCATTGAATTACCTGCTTTAGTAATTACAGAATTTTTTTTTCCTGATGTGGCCATTTGCAAGTCCAAGTTGGGGAAAACTATCTAAGTAAAGGCTGTTTTTTTTTAAATCATTCTGTTCACCAGCCCCCATCTCAGCAATGGAATGGATTGTTAGTAATATGCTGAGGGCATGCAGCTCTGCCAAGATTTACTTCCTGTTTCAACTTGGGCTGCTTTAGTATTATTTTCCAATGTTCTGAAATCGCATGTCAGAATTTATTTGAAAACATAATAATTTGAAAATGGATATCTTGCTAATTGGAGCATCTGTCTCTAGCTATAGCTCTTTTCTTCTCTTTGTAACATTCTGATTTATAATGATCATCTCACCTTTGCAGCTATTGCCGTATTTAGGAATAATGCTCAATCCTGTTCTGTCTTTGGAACAACATAAAGTCATCATGGGTTATGCTATTATTCTACCTCCTAAGAATTATCTGTGTGCTTCACTCCCTATCGGTTTGGTTTGTTGCCAAAGTAGTGATTTATGTTTGCTTGCTTCTAGACTATATTATTGCAATGCTTTCATATACAGACTGATTAGACTCTGCACACAAAGAATACAATTCGCTTAATCAAATGTGTTACACATAAATTTCCTGCTTCCTTAGGTTTCCTCATTCGTGGCTTCCTTTCCTGAAGTGAGCTATGGAGTTTATTCCACCAAAGTGAAAACCCTGACAATTTCCACTGATAACTTAGAAGCTTACAAATCCTCTATGTCTAAAATTTAAATTATTCCAACCATTGGGTATAGCAAAAGATTTGCTGATAGTTAGATAATTGGACATTTTATCCAAATAACTGTACAAACCAGAACTGATTTTGTGTCTGCTCATAGTTTTATTCAGCTGTCATTTAGGTTTCAACATAATATATAGAGACAACCTTATCCTTATGGAAGAGGGTTCTCACTTGATTTAACATTTCCTCCCAGGCAGCAAGCCCTTTTTCAGCATCCCTAATCAATAATCATTTGGTATCCCCTTGATCACCTCCCAGCGATAAGGGGTTCAGTGCTTTAAACACAACTGGATACCACTATTGAATATTTCCAGTTACTGATTCCTTCCTCTTCCATAGGACCCACCCTACATCCTGGTTTTCTTTTCTTTTCCTTTTTGAAGAATATTTGCTGTGGACTGGATGTTTGTGTCCCCCAAAATTCACATGTTGAAACTCTAATCTCTAGCGTGATGGTGTTTGGAAGTGAGGCTTTTGGGAAATAAAGAATTCATGAAGGGCCTCCCCG